CTGACTGATACGTAAAGACGTTTTTGTGGTTCCCGAATTAATTTTGGGGCCTAAAATTCCAGCCCCAAGCTCTCATGTTTCCCGAAATAATAATTTTCCCCAGCAAAACTCCCGTGAGGTCGTATGTGGTACCTAGGGGTACATGAGGACTGAAATTAAATATGCGGAATCGCACGTGGGTGAGGAACGTTTTATTAATGTTATATCTTCCCAGCTTTTGCGGTTTCCGAGTTGAAAATGCGGGATAAAGTGTACTCGGACAAATGTATACAGCACGTTGTGACAATATGAGTTTTGCGCTGCTGTTAAATAGTGCAAAATGCATAAAAACAAGTTCTTGGCGTTCATCTTTCTCAGAATAGATAAGCCATCTGTACTCGATTTTGCCACAATCTAATCATATCAAGCACTTCGAAGTACTTCCGACATTTTACAACACAATGAACGAAAAACTCTGCGATAAACTCGGAAAGCGCAGAATTAGGTCACACTGTGAGATGTGATAGAAAAACTTACCCGTGACCAGTTGGACTGATGAAATATAGGCAAAGATGAACACGCTTGTCCGGAATTATTGCTGAGCGCTCAATTTTGGTTTCTTCTGAGAAGTAATCCAAATATTTCTTCTCGATAAAATTCACGATCGGCTCCCAACTACAAACCAATTACAAGCACAATCATTGTAATTTTCTGAACGAGAATTCAGTGCCTTCCGAAACAAGCATAATGCAGCCACTCGACCTAAACACTTCATCCTGCTATGCGACTGGCAACGGAGCAGTATCGAAACGCGGCTTTATACAAACCCACAACTGTAGGTTGCTAACAAGGGATGAACCCAGACATCAAATTCACCAGAAAATCGATGCATGTTCTACTGAGTATATATATATTATATATATATGTACATATATATGTACATATATATACACATATATATACATATATATATACATATATATATACATATATATACATATATATACACATATGTACATATATATACGTATATATGTACATACATATACATATATATATATATATACATATATATGTGTGAAACACGCAGAAGCACCCAACAAATATTGTAAAAAACAGGAGGAATTTTGCTCGGCATCGGAGAATGACAGGGGACTAAAAAGATTCCTCATGAGCAATTTGTAAGTATGAGACAGTAAGCAGATCTAGTAGGATTTGATCAGTTGGATGTTTACGCTCTCATTTCCGAGAGCCTTTCTACCTTTTATTTAGAGAGCCGCGTGCATTACGTTATCGATAAGTACTGGAAGGGCTTAAGGCCTTGCGGCGCAAACTGCAGGTGCTGGAGCGTTGACAAGTGACGAAAATAGATCTGTTTAAAATTTTCTACAGTTTAAGCTCATTGATCTCATTTTGCACACTGAAGAATCTTATCAAGA